ATACAATATTTAGTCATACCCACGTTCGCTCCTGAGAAAAGCAGCAGTTGATCTCAACAGCAATTACAGTTTTGTAAAACAAATAGTAGAATTGACTTATACAGTTAGTTCTGACCTCCCATGATTTAAGACACAACAAGTCCTAATGTTATCTTTTCCACTGCTTTTTTTTTTTAATTATAGAGAACAAACTCTGACTTACAGATTTTCTACAAAATGCTCCAACCCTGAAGACCACAGTATTTATCAAAAGAAATTAAAAAAAAAAAAAAAAAAAAAAAAAAAAAAAAAAAAGGCTTAATATCATGCTTGGTGATAACACTTGTAACTAAAGGAAGACTATCCAATAAGTATGTTATCACTGCTGTTTCTTCCTCCTCAGAGGCAAACCGGTCAAATAACACCTTTTTTTAAAAAAAAAAAAATTACTGTAAGAGCAAAATTTTATTTTTGTTGCTTTCACTTAAACATTTCTAACCTAACATTCCCAACACGACTGCCAACGTCGTATCTTCTGCTAAGCATTCAACCAAAAAGCAAGTCCCAAATGCAGTATATTTCCCCCTGTAGAAGACGTAAGGAAATAATCTGGGTGAAAATTTCAAGTTAATGCCTCAGTCAGAAAGCAACATCATCACAAAAGAAAAAAATGAAAAACCTCATCTAAAACATCGTGTAGAAGTAAAAGCAACAACAAAAGCCACAGTATATCCCTTAGTTACCTCAAGGGCAGAAGAAAATCTTGCTATCGTTTCAGGTTATTGACAAGAAGGCATCACTGGGAAAAACCAACAGAACAGACAGACAGAAAGCCCAAGAGTCAGCGCACACTTGTGGATTCTGCCGCCAAACAATGCACCTGAATGAAGGTATCCGTAACTCCTGGATTCCCCCCCCCTTCCCGCACGGCTTTCTACGGCGCTCAGAGAAGCACGAGGGCAGCACGCAGACCCAGCGGGCGCAGCTCACACCGTAGGTTCAGCGAGGACAGCATTCGGGCAAACCTTTCAGTGCAAATAACCCCAAATCACCTCAGTTTGGAAGAAGCTGCCGCACTGCACTTCTCTGCCCATCTCATTTCTAGACAACGAAAAACCATTCTTCAGCGCCGAAACCTGATTTTAAAACGTCATCCAGAGAACCTGCAGCAATCAGGCTGTGACACAGTTTTCACCTCACTCACACGGTTAGACACGTTTCCACGCATATTAACCGTCCTGCAGCAAAACCACAACGGGACGGCCCCCCGCTGGGACAGCAGCCCGAGCACATCCCCACCCACAGCCGCACGGAGCCGAGCCGCTCGCAGCCCTCCGGGCTCAGCCCGGCACACGCAGCCCGCCGAAGGGCCGTGGCCGGCTTTCCCGGCGAAGCCCTCAGGCAGGTAGCGGCGGCCGGCCCGGAGCCGCTGCCCAGCCGCCCCGCGGATCGCTCGGCCCCGGGGCCGCCGTGCCCCGCTCGGTGCCGGCCCTGCCTATATTAGGTTAGAGAAGTGGGGCCGTGCCGCCCCGCGGTCCCCCGGCCGCGCCGCGCAGGTGCCGCCAACCACCCCAACGGCCGCGCCGCCCGCCCCTCCCCCCTCCAACGGCCTCCCTCCCGCAGCGGCTGCCCCCTGCTCTCCGCACTGCGGGCGCGGCCGACCGCCCCCCCCCCCACACACACTCTCTCCCCTCCTCCTGCTTTCTCGGCCTCCTCCTTTCCCGCTCTCCTCAGCTCCGCCGCCCGACCGGGAGCCGCCTCAGGCTCCTTACCGCGGCGGCGGCAGCGCGGCCGGCGGACTCGGGCCGGCGCGGCGGCGGCGGGCTCACGCACGAGGGGCGCTTAACCCCATCGCCAGCCTCGATAGCCGCCTGGGTTCCTCCTGCTGCCGCGGCGGGGAGAGAGGCCCGCCCCTCCGCCGCTCCGCTGCCAATAGGGGCATGGAACGTTCCTGAGTTACGGCCGAGCTGTCCAATCAGCGGCGCGCCGCCAGCCCTCAAAGCTGCCGGCGAGCGGCGCCCCTCAACGCCTAGGCGGGCACAGGCCCATCCAGAAGACAACGACCAATCGGAGGTGCCACTGCGCTGACAGACGGCCGCGATCACCAATAAGAACCCCATTCGGCAGGCAGACCGGCACAGCAGCGCCCACCCCCTGTGGGCAGCGAGCGACCATTAGCACAGCGCGGCGGTGCGCAAACAGACTGCGGCCGCGGCTAACGGCAGTTAGGGAGCATGGCTGTTCACTCGGGGTTGGCGGTGAACTGTGCCTAGATCGCAGCCACGGACAACTCGGCCGGAGCAAGCTAGGAACTGTAATCCCAGTTCGGCCTCTCAGCCTGGCCCCAGCCAGCGGCCCAACCACAGCACAACGCCACAGCGCTCCCCACGCCGGAAGCGCGTCGGGAAGCCCACGGCTTCCTGCCTGCGCGTGCGCGCTGCCGGTTTTACGTCACTTCCGCCGGCGGCGTTTGAGTACAGAGCGCGCCAAGCCGTAAGGCGCTGAGCTGGGCCTCTGCAAGGTGAGGGTTGGGCGTCTGCGGGCTTCTCTGCCTCAGTCCGTGTTTGCAGCAGAAAGACTCGCTCTGCTCCCCCCCAACGCTGGGGTGTTGCCGCATGTGTGTAAGTTCAGGACAATCCACGAAAACCTTTGCCCCTGAGCAGAGGCGGAGGTGTCTATTTTCCCTGATAGCCTGTGGTAAAATCGTGATGTGATGTGTGGCGCTGCGATCGCTGTCCTTTGTTCTAACTGATCGTTCTTCTGAATTTCTTTGTTTCAATATCTTAAGTCGCTTTAAGATCTTCTTATTGGTAGAAGAATGGATTCTGTGATTTTCTTAAAGCTTTGTGTTTCCTATTAAGCCTCGTGGAAAATACAGTCATAGGGCAGTGAGGAACATCAAAAGGAATGTGATTCTGTGGTTCTGTGAAACATAAGCTAAATGTGTGGTGGAAACACCCATTTGTTTTGGGGGTCTGCTGTGAGCTGCATGGAAATGCTTTTTTAATGAGCAGCCTATGAAATAAATGGTTTGTGTAATGACCACTGCTTGTGATAGCAAGCAGCTGTCTTGGAACTCAGATCTCCCGCTGGGCCCTGAAGTTCTTGTTAGTCATCTGACTTTCCAGTACTTGAGTTTATGTGTCTTAAACAGCTTGTGTCTTGTGTCACTGGAAGGAAGAATGTCTGTAGTAAAACAAGCAGCAATGACAGAACTCCAGAGTTGTTTTTGTTTGTTTTTTGTTATGTTTAATTTTCCTTTTATTAATATTTATGCTCCTCCTACCCCTCAGAACTTGCTTTTCCAAGAGATTTATGAATTCAGTGAATGCAGTAGATGCTAGAACAGATTTTGAAATACTGCTTATTTCACATCTCGTGTATGAGCAGAACTTGTATTCTAAGAACAAGAGAAGAAGGTTGCAGTGCTATCATCTTCCTGTTTTGGTGTTGTGTTTTTGTTTTTTTTTTTCTTTGCAGTCCAGTTTCCCTAGAAGTTTGAGAGATTTTTCATCTCAGATTCTTTCCTGGAAATCATAAGTACTGTATGAATATAGTAATAAAATTTACTCTGTTGTTAACTTTCAAAAAGTGGAAACTGAACTGCATCAGCCAGTTTGTATGTACATTCTTGGATGCTTTCCCCCTTTGAAAATCTTTTAGTAGACTTGAAAGATAAGATTTACCTTACAAAAAGTAAAGGTACCTGTACAAAAGGTTCTTCCTTAGACATAAGGAAGAATTTTTTCTCTCAGAGGGTGGTCAGGCACTGGAATGGCCTGCCTAGAGAGGTGGTGGAGTTGCCGTCCCTGGCATCTGGAGGCATCTGGATGACGTGCTGCATGATGTGGTTTAGTGCTAGTGGTGGCAATGGTGATGAGGAGACGGTTGGACTGGATGATCTTATAGGTCGTTTCCAACCTTGTGATTCTATGATTCTATGAAAAGACATGTTGACACCCTGTGCACAGACATGTTTACCCTGTTGTTTGTAAGTTCTATGCTTCATCATTTTTACTCGCTTTTTTTCCCCAGAAATGAATAATGTAATAGCACAGATCTTCACTATCCCTGCTTTTAAGAAGTGCAGTCACTTTCCACTCTCTACTCCTGAGATTCTACAGCGATTTCAGACGAATAGATGCTATTATTTTAGAACCCTGTTATTTCATCCTTGTGGCCCTTTAGAAAGCTTGAGAGAATACCATATGCATTTTCATTTACTTTGTTTTTGTGGCTTTGTTTTGTTAGTCATGAGAATTCTGTCACTGCTGTTTACTCAATGAAGCCTTGAATGAAAAACTGCATCTATGCATCAGAGCTTTTAGGTCTCTTTTATATAAGAAAACCAAAGTTCCTGTGCTTGTGATCTAGAGATGTGGGAGGGTTGTCGTGATGTATTTTACAGCATACTTGGGACTCAGGAATAAATGGGGAAAAAAAAAATAGAGAAAACATGTGCACTAATCCTTTATCTGTTCTTAGAGCTTCTGAAGCTTTAATGGGTAGAACAACAGGCATAAACTGGCCTCCTGGGGATATCAACCAGTGTTTCTGATACGCTGTCACTTTAACATAAACTTGTGTTTATTTGATGAGATTACAAAATGCCGTGCATATTTGATCTATCTAAAATGAGCTCTAAATGACCATCTCTACCAAAGTAATTATATATAAGGCATTGATTTTTAGCTTAATAATTAATTACAAAGAAATCTATAGAAGACATGCACCCATGACTCCAGTATGGATTCTTGTTTTCATGCATCGATGGTAATATGTTTAGTGGTTTATATGTTGTGCAAAGGATAACAGTTCAACAGAAACTGGGTCTCTGTTTACAGACTCTTTTGTCAACAGTACTTCAGTAGTGCCAAATTCTTTTGCTGCAGACGAGCGAATTCCTGTTAAAGTCCTGTTAACTTCTTTTTGTAGTTCTCTAGTCCAATGTTCCTTTCATCTTCCTTTGTCTCGCCCTGACTTCAAGGTGATGCATGCTACCATCCATGCTGTGGCACCAAGAGGTTGCACTGCACAGAGCAAGTTTGGCTGTCTTGGAAAAGCTCACCTTGCCCAATGGAAGAAGTTCTTAGTTTTAGCAACCTGATGGCCCTCAGAAAGCCCTTGGAAGGTGGAGCAATATTTTTCTCTCATACAGTAGTGTGGTGGCACCTAGATTTTCTTTGCTGAAGAGAATGTAACTTTGTCTGGAAGAGTGTGCTTCAAGTTTTGTATCTAGAAATTCATATGTGGAATTTATGAATGAGTGCTGTTCTCTTTCATATAACTTCATCAGAATCTGTTTGTTTTACTTAACAGTACTCCAGGATATTAGAAGCAGGCTCTTGCAAGCTCTGTCTTGCATGATCTTGCTTTACTGCACTGATTACTTTAACCACTTCCATTGCCCTTAGGTCCATCTGTGTAACTAGTCAGTGCAAAAACCAGGTTATTTAGTCCTGCAGATCTTTGAAGTGAATGGCAATAGCTCAGTGAGTTTCATGCCGGAAGTTTTATGATTCATCCTATCAAATCATATCTGACTTCTGAGTTGCTTCAGAAATGCATAAGTTTCAACAAATCTGAGCACAACTTGTTCTTACAAAAATTTGATAGCTAGCCTTGTAGTACAAAACCTACTGTTGAGGTTTTGTAAAAACCTACAGTACTTTCATGACTAGAGGTGCATTTTGGCTGATACTCTTTGTTTCTGTGCTCATTAAGGTCTTGCTCCTTTTACATGCTGTGAATCCAAAACTAGACAATTAGGCAGTGCAGGGTCAAAGACCTTTTCTTTATGCTCTGATGTAGGGTTTGTTCCTTTGCACGTGTTTAGTTGGTGTGCTACTGCTGAACAGTCTGATGTCTTAAATCTATTAAGTTCTCAGAGAACAAGAGCTAGTATTTCTTCTCTGGCCGTGTTCCCGTGGACAAATTGAGCACAGTGAAGTATGAGAATTTTGATTGATGTATTCTGTGCTTTATGAATGTTTCTTTCTGAAAGGAAGATTCTGGTTTGGTTTTGTTTCTGCTTCTGCTTTGTTGTTTGTTTTTCACCTGAAACATACTGGGCATATTTTGCCATTACTTCCTGATCTTAGAATTACAAGTTTTAGTGGATATTTGGTTTCCTTATTAGAAGTAAAATGTCCTCTTTGTAACTTCCCTGAAAAAGTAAATACTTACCTTTTAATGTCTGTAAGTAAGCTTTATTTGAATGATCAATAACTATCATCATTGAATAGGAAGAATATTGAATTCTTCATAGTGTTGAAGAAGCGATGTGCACCAGACTCTTCCAATTGCAGTAGTTAGAACATTTTATTGACATAATGTTGCAGGCTCTTTATCATCTGCTTTATGTTGTATGTTCTAGAGAATTCTCAAGATGCAATTGGCCAACCTCTTTTCAGTGGCCTGTGGGGTAGGACAAAGGGCAATGGCCACAAACTGGAGCAAAGGAAGTTCCACACCAATATGTGAAAGAGCTTCTTCCCAGTGGGAGTGTCAGAGCAGTGGCACAGGCTGCCCGGGGAAGTTGTGGAGTTTCCATTTCTGGAGATATTCAAGGCCAGTCTGGATGCCTGGCTGTGCAACCAGCTGTAGGGAGCCTGCTTTGGCAGGGAGGTTGGACTTGGTGATCTCTGGACATCCCTTCCAACCCCTGCAATTCTGTGGTTCCTGAGACTGGCCCTCAAGCTGACTTTGTAGCCCAGAGGGGGAAAAACCTCCAAGTTCTTAAAAATTACTAGGATACTCCTCAGTGGGTGACGTAGGAGTTTGCTTATGTGCGTGCTAATTTAAGTAGATTTCTTGTGTCCAGCTAAAACATGTTTCTTGGACAGGTCCTCGTCAGGTAACTTTTAGCCAGATAAGCCAAAAGATGAAAATTAATCAACTTTAGGGAAAAACAAACAAACAAAAAACGAATGTGTCTTCAAAGGCATTGTTATAAAATAAAGTGCACTGATAAAGCACAGTGAAACACTGAGATCTTGCCAACTTTCTCTTATAATATTGGTGACATTTTTAATGTTGAAAACAGCATTCTTCCCCTGCCCCTTTTCTGAATGGCTCCTCTTTGGAAATGGTTTCATGGGGGAAAACTCCCTCCTTATACCCACACGTTGCCATGATTTTTATTAGCTATAAAGAGAGAGATGATTTATTGCTTGTTTTTAATTCTAAATTAAGGCAGGCAGTTCTATGGCAACTTGATTTAGCACTTTATCTATACGGCAATACAAGTGAAGCTGTGCTACTTTGGAAACAGGAAGGATGTTTTGTAGTAGGCGAATGCAACAATGTTTAAAATGTTTTGGATATTTTGCTTGTTTTCTTTTGGGTATGGATTATCAGGGGAGACTGATCTTATCCGAGGTTCACTGAATTACAACAACTCTGTGACTTTGCCTTTCTAACATAAGCATTGTGAGGATCTTAATGACTTATATCTTGGAAGTTACTAATTAATATGCTGGTGATTCTGGTGTTCTTCCTTTGTGATGTGTTTTTTATGAATTAAATTGTCAATTGTGGCAGCCATTAAAAGCCTAGACTGTTAGGTGTTAGAAAAAGGCAACTGGCTGGTCTGAGTATTTTCATTACTTCCTACTGCTATCAGTATAAGAGCAGTTTATGTGTAAATGTCAAGTATTTCAAGCTGTTATTATTCCATGAGGTTCTGTTCTATAATGTATTGCAGACCTATCTTTTAAGACAGACTTCTTTTTTTGGTTTTGTTTCCAGTAGGTTCAAAATGGCTAATGCGCTCCAGGACACACGTACACCCGAAGCTTCTTATTCTGAAAGTGTTGATGCTGAGCTGTCCTTTCTGCCTGAAAGACTGAGAAAGAAACTGCTTCCTTTTCAGGAGAAAGGCATCATATTTGCACTTCAGAGGAGTGGCAGGTATATTCCTTATATCACATGCTTGAATGAATTATTCTAGGTAAAAATTGATGAATGGTTAGAAAGGTTATGTGAATACAGCAATACTTAGGTTAGCTATATTACATATTTTTTGTAACGTAATATAACATGATTTTAAATGAGGTTGTTTTGTTTTTCTCCTATTGGAGGAGTGGAAATATTTAGTAGTGCAAAATCAACCTATAGTATCCAACATCTTCACATATAAGAGGAGGCTGCTGTCAGCGGAGCCTTCTTTTTGTGATGTTAATACAGCAGTCTCAAAATAAGTTAATTCACGTTTGCTTCTGTAGTTCTTAATGGCATGGTAGATCTGTTAAGAGAATGACTAACAGATCTCAATGCATCTGTGTGGTATTCTATTTTAAACTTGGTACAATTCTGGCATGTCATCAGGGTGTTCTGGAACTCACTGAGCTGTAACAACCAAGCAGAAGACAACTTGCAGAGCGCTCACTTAACAAGTACAGCAACTGATAGAGCATTCAACAGCTAGGTACCCTGTAAATCAGAAAAACAGTTTGTGCAACAGTGACTGGAAATACTTAGCTAAGATCGTGTTACTGTGTTAAAAGGTCAAAGAAGCGGGAAGGAGAATGATATCTGTGCTTCTTAAGTTTTAGAATATCTGAGTGATTACAGTACTTTCATGACTTGCAGCTGCATGTTGCTCCTGTGGAAAGTGATGTCGTTGTAGAGGTCTGGCACAAAAGAAGTGATTTGAGCTGAGGCTGTTAAAAAAAAAAATAAATAAAAAAAATAAAAAAAAATTCATATTTTCAAAATGGATGGAGGTCAGAGACGAGCGGGGCTTGGTGCTGGGACCAATACTCTGATATCTTCATCAGTGACATCAGCAGTGAGGTCAGCTGCACCCTCAACAAGTTTGCTGATGACACCGAGCTGTGGGGGTGCATCTGACGCACCAGAGATGGGATGCCATGCAGAGGGACCTAGACAGGCTTGAGCAGTGGACCTAGATGAACCTCATGAGGTTCAGCAAATCCAAATGTAAGGTCTTGCACCTGGATTGAGGCAACTCTTGCAGCAAATACAAGCTGGGGCATGAAAGGATTGAGCGCAGCCCTGCTGAAAAAGACCTGGGAGTACTGGTGGGTGCTAACGTGGGAGTACTGCATCCAGATGTGGAGTCCTCAGTACAGGAGAGACATGGACATGTTGGACTGAATCCAGAGGAGAGCCACAAAAATAATCCTCCCTGCGAGGAGAGGCTGAGAGTTGGGCTGTTCAGCCTGGAGAAGAGAAGGCCTTTCGGTATCTAAAGGCGAGCTACAGGAAAGGAGGGGACAGACTCTTTAGCAGGGTCTGTGGTCATATAGTAAAGGGAGATGGCTTAAAGCTTTAAGAGGGTACATTTAGGTTGGATATAAGGAAAAAAAGGTCTTCTATGGTAAGGGTGGTGAGGCACTGGAACAGATTGCCCAGAGATGTGGTTGATGCCCAGTCCCTGGAGACTTTTGAGGCGAGACTGGATCAGGCCCTGGTCAACCTGACCTAGCTGTGCACGTTCCTGTTTGCTGCAGGGGAGTTGGACTAGATGACCTGTGAATGTCCCTTCCAACTCTAAGGATTCTATAATTCTATGTACTTTTCTGGTGTGACTGTAAGAATAACTGTGTACAGTTTTAGTGGATCACTAAGGTTTTGACAGAATAGGCAGCAAAGTTTGTATTTAAGAGTTGAATTTAATGTATCCGAAGCCCTAGGCTACTGTATCTCATGATCTGATGCCAATAAGGGGAAGTAGAGTTTACATGATATGCAACTGATATGCGTTTATATATACAAATAATAAAATTACACAAGAAAATATGTATATAGTTTCTTTAATGTTAATTTGTGTAGGCTAATGAATGTGTTTGAAAACATAATCCTTTGCAAGCTGTTATAATATAGAGCTTCCTCGGGAAACTGCTTAACTAGATAAATTCAAATCAGGTATTTTTCTTTGAGAAGCAACATTTGCCTGCAATAAGTGTGTAGAAAGATTTGAAATGCCTCGGCTAATGGCTGTTAAGGAGGCTATGGGGTTATTTCAGATAGGGTTATGGACTTAGTTTTTTCTTTTCTTGAAACTTTTCATTAACAAAAGACTGTTGAATAATGCGATGCTGATGTTTTTACTGTGACGTGGGTATGAAAGTATTTGCATTATGGCTGCAAGAAATGCCATTCTTTGGCATAGTGAGTTTAGCTGGGTCAAATTGGGCAATTGTTTGCACATGTTCACATAGCCTCTGAAGTAAAATATATTAAGTCAAACTTTCCTGAGGATTGTTTTTCAAAAATCTGTCCCTTACCCGGATCTAATTCTCTTTTAGTCTCAGAACAGAGAACAAGAGCCTTTGCTGCTTGTAGCTGAATTTTCTTATGAGTTTGTCAGCCTCTGGCTCACCCTAATCTCTTCTGTGCACTCCTTAATGATTTAAGCATTCTTTCACTATTCCCTTTGGTATATTTTAACAAGGTCTGATGCTTTTCCATAAAAGTGTCTTTTCTAATTTTGAAAATATATGAACATAGCACTTGAAGTAAGCAATATGTGCATCTGGCTTCTCTTTTATCTCTGAGGCTGTGCACTCCCTGTGCTGTCATCACTTAATCCATGCTTTGCTGTAGCGGTAGGAAACTGGTGTAGAGAGAATTCTCTATTGTTGACTGTAGAGATTGAGTTAATGTTTTCTTAGGTTAGAGAAGCTCCTAGGGTGACAGAGGAACAAAAAACCTTGAATGAAATATACACTCTGAGATTCTAATGGGGCTGGAATTAATCTATTCATTTCCCCAGTTTCCCTAATAACATAAATATGCAGTTGTGATTTGAGCTTCATTAGTAAAAGTGAGGCAGAAGAGACAGGCAGATGCAAGCTTTTTCACTAAATGCTCCAAAGGTGTTGTGTGTAGCAGCACAAAGTGCCTAATGCTTGTCTAGAAAAAAATAAAAATAGTAATTCTAGAGCCAATAAGACATGTACTGTCTGATTTGTTGGGAATCTGAGTGAGCATTCTGACTTGTTTTCTTGTAAGCACATAACTAATGTCATTCCTACATGTTCCAGGCAAGGATGCTGAATTGGTGTAGTTACCAAATAGAATATCTGTTGAGATGTGAGAATGTGTGGCATCAATATTTCTGTGAGATTGGAGCTAATCTAAATTCTTGTTCAACTTTTGACCATTTTGTTTTTAAGATGGAAAGTTCAGGTTCAGATTTCCGAAATAAGAAAGCTGAAAATGATCATCATTTGTTAAGGGAGATCTACTTACTTTCTCTGCTTTTGTCACAATGACTTTGATAGATGTCAATTTAACTAATTTCTGTGTTTAAAAATGGAATTTCTTTAATAGTCATTTTGTTGAGTCATACCTAGGAGTATTTTTATGGATGTTTCGTTTTTACTTCAATAATTACTTGGTGACTTGAAGTGTTAAGTGATATCAACAAGTCCCTCCATTGCCTTTATCTCTCCAGATCAGAGGGAACTGGGAGTAAGGAGGAAGATTTAAAGAGATGAGTTCTTCTGCAGCTTTTGCAGTAAGGAATATCATTTGGGAAAGCAAATTTTATTTGATAGTATTAAGAAGTAGCTAATGGTCATTGAAAGACATTACATACTAGGCAAGAGCTACTTTGATTGCAAATATTTCAATCTTGAAAATTAATGTCTAGGTTACGGTTTGTAGCCTAGCTTGTCAGTAGTTGAAATTAGTTTGTTATTCCATTTTGTTCCAATTAATTGATGTCAGTCTTTCTTGCAGCAATTCAGCTGGTGAGCTGATCTGTGTCTGAGGGGGTTTATAAGAAAAACGGGGAGAGACTTCTTACTAGGTCCTCTAGTGATAGCAAGATGTAATGATTTTAGATTAAAAGAGTATAGACTTAAATTAGACATGAGAAAGAAATTCTTTATTCAGATGGTAGCAAGGCATTGGAGCGGGCTGCCCGGAGAGCCTCTGGATTCCCCATTGATGGAGCTGTTCAAGGCCAGGTTAGGTGGGGCTTTGGGCAACCCGGTCTAGTGGGAGCCTCCCTGGCCATAGCCTGGCAGGTGGGTGGAACTGGCTAGTCCTGTCTTTTAGGTCCCTTCCAACCCAAACTGTTCTGTGACTCTAAGTCTCCGAGTTTAAACTTTGCCTTGACCACTTTGGTTGATATGTGTTATTTCACACATCCTTTTCCATACTGAAATATGCTGGCTAATATACACATATTGCTCTCAAACCTTCATAAACACGGGTTTATGAAGGGTAAATTTTAAATGTCTTACTCAGATACGGGTTGAGCAGTATTGGAGAAAAGCCTAAGACTCTGCACAGCCATTCTCCTCTATATTCCTTTGAAGAACTGAGAACACTGCAGATGTGGCAATTCAGTGCATCTTGCATTAGACTGATGGTTGGTTTTTCATTGTTTACTTTTCTAAAGCACCTAATGTAATTCAAGAGCAAGGGTATGATGTGGCTGAAATCCTCTGGGGCTCTATTTTTGGTTAAACAACCTTGATTATCATCTGTGTTCTCGTTTGAGGACTGAGTGCTGCGATTACTGACACACAAATGTAACGGTTGCTTGCGCAGTTTTATATAAAAATACACTCCGTTCAGATTCCTTAAATAACCTTGGTTAAGATGTTAGTGCTAAAGTGTTGGCTTGTGAGTAGGAGGTAAATTGTATGTTGTAGTGTTATATAAAACTGACTCACATGAGTAGGTGAGAATCCCAAGAATATCAGAACACCCACACTGGTGAAAGAAAGATGCAAAGCTTCCTCTGTACAGCATGTTCCAAAGGCTGCGCTAACAGAACCAGCTTTAGTTTGTTTGAGTAGTAACAGAATTTTTCAGTGTTTTAAGAAATCAAGTGCTACTGCTTTGACTGTTTGTCTTGGAAAATGGAACTAAAGGTGAAGGATTTTGTTCTGAAAAAGCTGCCTGCAGTTCTGGGTAAATAGCTGCTG